AGTGATAAATGTCTTGCTGAAACTTGCTAGTGGCAGTGGAGGACTTTTCACATTTGATTCTGTTTGCGCATCATTTTGTGCCGATGGAAATTTGACATATTTTAGCTCAAAACTTGCAATGTGAGTTTCCCACTGTCATGTTTGAGAATGGTTTTTTCCATTTTTTAGGCTTTTTTGACAGATTTTAGAAGAAATTAGCTGGAATAATGCCGAAATATTTGAGATATGTTAATAAACCATAAGTGAGCATGACAGTTATAATAAAGATAGTAAGCTAACTTGGATAGAAATAAAACAAAATTCAAGAGAATAGGGTTCCGATTCGGAAAAAAAAATTTGCAGAATGTACCCACCGTATTCGGTTTTTTGAGAATTTTTTGGGATCAGCGTGAACAAGCTTCAAAGGGTTAAGGGATGTCGGGGTTTTGAACCCGAGGGGAAATTTTTTAGGGATACGTATGCCCACTGAACCGTTTTTCCGAGGATTTTTTTTAGGATCAATGCTCAAAGTGAACGAGCTTCAGAGGGACAAGATATGGATGATGGACGCCAACGGGCTCTTGCCTTCAATCTGTCATTCATTTTGCTTACACGAATGCGTTTTATATACAATGATCTTGTGAGCCTTCTCACTATTTTTAAAATTCATTGGATTACTTAGCTGTAATTTATAATCCGATTCTTGAGCTATGCAGTTGACAGTTTTTCCAGTTGCTTTAAATAGTGCTGCTGTTGCATCATGACTCCCTCCTAGGTAGGTTGTGCACTGTCGCGAAAGTGGCCTATATAAGGTAGTATTTTGTCTAGCGTAGTGTGTCGACCAGTGTCAATCCCGTCTAGTATCGTCGATCGTTCTCGTGTAGCGTGCCGACCGGGACGACTTACGAAGGATGAGCACTCCTTTGCAACCCCAAGTAATTGCCAAGGAACCAACGATCCGACTTGAAAGGCGCAGTACCCGGCCAGTCGACTGGAGCGCACGGACCGGGAACCCAACACTGCATTATCCGATGGTCAGCCTCTTGGCCATCCTGACTTTCGTATGGTCTTCTGAAGGACTACCAATTGAACTGTTCACCCAAAATAAGCAAAATTTTGCTTTTTTTTGCATATTTTGAGTATGATCGTTTTCATCACGGACGTTGCCAGGGTATGGATGTCTTAAATCTAGAATTTCCTAAAATTTTTCAGTGTAAAAATTTTTTACAGCGACCAAGTGAATTGGTAAGTGGAACACTTCGCGGCGCGGACAACACTCAATCATGTTTCTACAAATTCGCATCGCAGTACGGATGGACAGCAGCTGATAGTTGTAGCACACCGATTACTTACACCAGTGACCAGAAAGCTGCTTTTATTGAACGTGTCAGTATCCTGAAACGTGCCCAACCATTTTGGGATCCAAGGACGTAAGTCAATTTTTTTATAATTTTTAGTAAAATTATGGTCCATCTCAATAATATCCTTTTGTTA